CAAAGAGCAACTAATAGCAATTTTTTTCACTCTCATATTTACTAAGGCAAGAAAAAATAACACATTTTTCAGACACTGCAAACATATTACTGTAACTGACGGCAATCTATTTTAGAACAGATCCAGCAAAGGACCTTGACTCAAAACTCTCCCCTGTGGAGAACACACACACATCATCCTTTCCCCCTGGAATTTCCTCAACACTCTTCTGACTAGGGGGCCCCACCCAAAGAGACTCAGGCATAACTGCTACCCACAAACATTCCCTCAGAACTTCCTCTTCTCACAGGCACCCGCCCCCGGCTGGGTTTTGAAAAAACCTTTAAAAAACCACACACACAAACTCCCTTTAACACTTTCTCTCAAATATTTGCAGATAATTAATTCACTGTTAATCAGTTAAGAATGGCTCTGTTCTACTTTGTAATTAAAGATAGGGCGACTCCAGCCCCACAAATGTATTTCTGAACACGCAGCGGTGGAGACAGAACGGCCCCTCCAGCAGGTGGGCCAGGGGTCCAGCCGCCTCCTCAGCCCCTCTCTCCTGCCCACACTGCTGCTCCGAGGGGTTTCCAGTGAGTCACCACCAGCAGCTGGTGTCCAGGATGGCACGAGCCCCACTTTCTCAGTGCTGTATTTAGAGCAGCACAGAAACTCCCAGACACCCCTCCACTCCCGCCTGCCCACCCCTCTCTCGTTGGCTCCAAACGCCTCCCGGGGGGGCCCTCCCCACTCAGTGGCCCTCCCAAGCTCCAAGTGTCCCCAGGTCTCATCACAGAGCCCTGGGCTTCTCAGGCCAGGGGCTCGCTCCCCTCCATTCCCGCTGCTAAACTCCAGGGTCCAGCTAGACCCTTGGGCCGGAACGCCCACCTGAACAGGATATAATCGTGTAACCGCATGTACCTGTGTGGCCTCCTCTCCCTGGTACAGTGGTTCTCAATCTAAGCTGCACATTAGACTCCCCACCCTTCCCCAGTGGATTTTAAACGTCTTGACGCCCCAGCCACACCAAAGACCGAGAGATCAGGGTCTCTGCGGAGCGAGGGGACCGAGGCACCAGTATTTTTAAAGTTCCCCAGTGTCCTGGGGCAGCCCCAGCAAGGACCACAGATCTCAGTGATGGGCACCCCCTCCTTACCCACTCTCTTCCCCACAAGCTCCTACTAACCCAACAAGGCCCAGCCACCTTGACAGCCTGCCTCGCACACCCGTGTTCCAGGCCTCGAGGCTCCTCCACCCAGCTCCTAGCGACAGCGGCCCCTACCCTAACCCTGGGTTGCCAGACCTAGAGTTCCAGTGGCCACCCTGCTGAGTCCTTCCACCTGCTAGTGTGAATATTCTCGTGTGGCGGTCTTACTGTTGGTATTTAAAGCGTCTCTGGTCTGATCTCTTCTGGAGCAGAGACTCCCTCGTCCATTTGGCAGACACTGTGATGCCTCTGCTCTCTGCTTAATGCCGGCTCCGATGGCAGAGGAGAGGCTGTGGGGAGAGGGGCCAGCTCCCTGCACAGTGACACAGTCTTGGTCAGCCAGGACTCTGGGCCTCCACCACGAGGAAGAGTCACCACTCAGGATAAAAGACACTCTGATCCAGCCGAGACTTCACAGGAGCTGCCCCACTTGGAGGGGAGGACAGGTCACTCCCCCAGGACGTCAGCTGCTGTGTCCACGCAGCTCTCTGTGTGCATCATCCAATTCACAGTTAACGCATGTTTGGAACCTTAACCACCACTTACGCATCTTCACATCTAAACCTGATGAAAGCAGACGGGGGGTGGACACGGCAGAAGGGTGACACTGTGAGCTAAGTACAGCTGATCCTCAAAAAAGATACAAAGTAGAAAAGTTGAGAAATGCCCTTAAATACTAAGCCTGGAAGTGTGGGCAGCAGAGCCAGAGATGGTGAGCACGGGGTCCGTTCTGTGCCCTTCTTACTGACAGAACCCTGTTTGGATCTGCAAATACACGGCTAACCAGGTAGATTTCCTGCCTTCCCTGCCCCTAGCAAACCAGGTGCAGCTGGAATTTGCCGAGACTCTAAGCAACGCTTGCTTCCTGGTGTGAGCCCAGTCCCTTCCCCTGTGTGGCTTCTCTCCTTCCTGCTCAGGCTGGAGCAGGTACTCGTAGCCACAAAAGCGACGGGCCCAGAATGGCTGAGCAAAACTGCAGGCAAAGCCTTGGGCACCGGTGGCACCGCCCCACCGGCCGCAGGCTCTGCATGTCAGGGGACAAAGGTAAAGCTTTCTGTTAAGTTACCTGGTCAGGGGTCTGATGCTGTCACATCGACTGGCATGTGTGGTGTGCAGGCTCAGCTGTGCCACCGCAGACCCTCACCCTTGAAATGGGGGATGACAACTATTTCGAGCGGGGAGATGACGTATGGAAAGGGTTTGGTCGGAGACTGGGGTGCAAATGGCAGGAATGTAATTCTCACATCTGGCAAAGCCTTTCGTGCCCATGAGGTCATCCTGTAAAATTCTAAGGTCAATAGAGGACAAACATAACTGGGCACCTTGCCGGGTATGCCAGGCAGCACATGCTGGGACACAACCAGACCGTCCCCCGTAGTATCTCCAGATTTCTGTCCAGACAAGGACACACTGGGGACTTCAGCTGAAATCAGGGCAGCACAGCGTCTGTAGCGGCAGCAGCGAAGCCACGGTCAGTAGCTCCCTGTACTCCAGAAAGACTTCCACACTTGTTGCTTCCTCCTACCTTCACTGCAGGCTGAACAGGTGGCCCAGCATAAGGGCCCAGACTCCTCCTTCCAGCCTCGGAGTACCCTGTAGGGTTCATAGTGTGGCGCAGCAGCGGGTCCACACTGGGGCCGGAGGGGTCCCGGGCCGGCTGAGCGGAGGGGAAGGCCCCGCTTCATTCTCTTACTCTGTCAGTGCACTACCTGACCACTTGGTAGATGCGGAAACTAAGGCCTGGAAGGGTTTGGCCTCTGAGATCCACAGGAGTATCGCAGTCCAGTGGGCACCTGGACCCAGTGTGCCTGCCTTCCCCGGCAGAGCACGGGGAGGTCGTGGGCCCCCCAGCGGTGTTTTCAGCCTAGCCCTGCTTCTGATCCTCCACATACACCCCAAGTGGGTCCAACAGCCCCCGACCTTCTCCCCACAGAGACTTTATTTACTTTGAAAGCTGTGTGGGGAAGAGTGAGGACTGCACACGTGTCTGCAGGATTCACTCTTGGTGTGACACAGGAGGCCAGGTCACAAACCAGCAGTCCCAGGTTCAAGTCCCTCCTGGTTCACGCCACGTCTCCCCACGCAAAGTGCCACAGCCCAGGTCACTAACCACCAGGAGATGCTTCTCCAGCCGGCACGGAACCCCAGGGGCAGTCCACCAGCCGCCTCCTCCCGCGGAGGAAGCCACACTCACTCATCTCTAGACAACAGAAATCACCCTGTGTTCATCTCTTGAGTATAACACCTCCCTTAGGCACTTGCCAGAGAGATTTCCCATGAGTCACTGGAAGAAACCAATAAATCAAGGAACTTAAAACAGTGAACGTAAGCAACCGGTTTCGAGCTACATTTAGAATGCCACAGAGCCAGGCCTGCTTCAGATGTTATTCTGGAAACACCAAAAGGTAGGCTGTTTCTTTTTTCTTTTCACTCTGAAGAAGAAGACTTTCAAAATTGTGTTTCAAAGCTCCCCCGTCAGACAGAGTAAACAAGGCCTGTCAGCTCCTCGCTCCCACAGACATGGCCGAGGACAGCTGATAAGACAGGGTTCAAGCAGTCGAGGCCAAGATCCAGAACAGACACTTGACATTCCAGCAGGAGGTGTTTAGCATCTGCACACTACAAACATCCTTTTCTTTCAGTGTCCCCATGTTCAGTTCACTGCAACAGACTTGAATGGAGACAAATGTGATCAGAAAAGAAGTCATCCGATCGTGGGCCTGACAGTGTGGAAAGTGCTGGAAGAATGAATGACATTTCCAAGGTAAAATCGGGACAGTCCTCCAACAAGCTCTCTCGAACAGTCTCACAAACACTCCTGGGACCGTTTGCAAAGCACTAAAGAACATCACAGCCGTAAGAAGAGAGAATTTGGTCAACATTCTCAGTTACAAGGACCCTTGCGTGCATCTGGCTACCAAAGGCTCTTGGTGAGCCGAACTACAGTTCTTTACGCGCAAAATACCCCAGCGAGCTCCCCTCCCACAACCAGGACTCTGGGCCTCGTCACTGCTCCCCTTCTTTGTGGCAATGTCACTTAATTATTTCCAAATCAGATAAAACAGAAGCGACATTTCTGGATCTGGGCCAGGATGATAGATCTCTACATTGCAGTCGTGCAGAAATCACTGTGTTCAGCCGTAGGGAGTTCCTCATTCCAAAGACTGGTAGACCAAGAAAGAAACGTGCGAGCCTTCCCAGCCACAGAGAGCGGAGACGTCACCCAGAGGGGTAAGGACCCACATACTGATTCAGGCAGCAAACGCCCTCCTCTGATGCTTCTTGTGGAAGAATCAAAGACCTGGCCTCGGGGAGGGGCTGTGGGTGCGTGTATGTGCGTGTGCACGTGCCTGGGGTCTTCTCACGGCCACGTGGCCCTTGAGACCCTCACTGTGTTCCTGGCTGAAGTGCTGTGTTAGCGTCTCGAGGTCACGCTGGGCTGTAAATGGCACTGGTTCTGAGGGCGCCGCGCCCACCTGAAGCCCTGGGAGAAAACCAGGACTCCCTCTGCACAGAGAGCGTTTCACCAACCAGCGAGAGGAGGCCTTGGCCTGAGGCAAGTTCTTACATAAACACATTCCGACTCTGGATGTTTTCAGTTGAAATTTCTATTCAGCCTGCATTCAATCCCAGACTCGACAGAAACTGCTGGTCAGACATATTTTTTGTTTATGTAACTACATTTCTTACTTAGAAACATTCTGTGGAGAGTGCCTTCTCCCAGAGTCACTGCGGGAATCAGAAGCAAAGAACTGAGGAGGAGGGGATGGGGGAGACAGGCTGGGGGCCACACTGCGGGCCGGGTACTCACCGTGGTCGTGGGCAAACACGAGCAGCCCCAGGCCCACCAGCATCCGAGCCAGCTCATCATAGCGGCCGCAATGCTCCCCGGCTCCATGGGACACAAAGACCAGGGCCCTGCAAGGACGAGAGAAGCCATTAGGAAGGCCAGACCCCAGAGGCTGCAGCTGCGGCAGGACCGGGCTCTCGTGACATCAGCAGCGAGCCTGAGTGAGAGGCAAGTGCTGTTAGAACACGGGGCCTCAGGGTCACAGGGGACAGCAGGTGCCTTTTCACTGAGCACTCACTACATGTCAGACCCTCTGCTGAGTCCGCGTGCACCACTCCTAGTCCTCGGATCGTCCTACACTTTACCTTCCTGACAGCTGAGAGTGAAACTCAGAGAAGTTAACTGCCCAAGTCACACAGCAAGTTGCAAAATGTGTATCAGAGCACTTCACCACCCGGCTTTCAGGTCTCCAACGGGCCACCAAGTGGGCTCAGAGTACAAGCCGTCCTGTCCCCTCCTGGTCCCGCCACTCCTCCAGCACCTCCCCGGCTCACGACCTGTCCTCACAGGGGCTTCCAGACTCTCCAGCAACACCCAGCTCTTCCCACCTCAGGACCTTTGGCCTTGTGGACCCCACTCCCCCAGACCCCCCACAGCTCCCAGAAGGGACGGCTCAAGCACTTTACTGTCCTTTGGGAGCTGGGCAGCTGCCAGATTAGCTCAGCCCACAGTGAATGCAGATGGACGAGCCAGGTCATGCGACCGCCAGCCTCTCCCTGCGCTCAGGACCCAGTGGGCGGAGGAGGACTTCAGGGGCTCACTTAGCGTCCAAAGGAGCGGCACATGGCGTCACTGCCACTGTGGCTGAAGGTGCTTGCTGCCAGAACCCAATCTGGACACAACACGCGGAAAACTGCTTGCGCTTACTCCACAGCAGCTGCTTCTAACCCAGTGGCTCTCAACGCTGGCCACACCCTGCAGTCACCGCAGTGCTTTCCCAAGTGCTGAGACCAGGTGCCACCCAAGAAGAGCCTCTGGCGTACGGGTCTCGGGGCGAGAGCAGCCCCGTCATCCATGCTGCTGGGGCAACAATACCGCTCAGAGGCCACGTGGGACCTCCAGGCGGGGAAGGCCGCCCCCCTGCCTGGAGACTCCCAGCCACCGTGGAGCCGCTCACCTCCCTGAGAGACACACCGGCGACCACAGGCCAAATCTGGACTGACGGAGTAGCTGCTGCCACCCCTCTGGAAGCAAGCAGAGCAACCCGGCCATCCGACTGCAGGCAGCAGGGGCCTCGGCCGCCCCCCTCTGCCAGGTGGGCAGCACCGCAGGCCCGCCTCCCCCAGACCCAGCCCAGGCATCTCAGCAGACACATGCTCTGACACTGGCCTCATTCTGCTACTGCCCTAAGTGGGGCTCTCCCAGCCCCTAGATTCAACTCCTGCCGGGACCCCACTTCTCATCCATCGGTCTCTCCTCCCGCTCACCACACTCCTTGTTCCCTGGACCCAAGCCCAATTCTGTTCCGTAGACTGCCTGAGCCCTGCACTGACTTCCCACTGCATCAGAACAGAGCCTGCTGCCCTGTGGTGATGCCCTCACCCCTCTTCCCAGCTCTCAGAAAAGCCAGCGGGATGAGGTGTAGCGTTTGCTGATTTCTCGGTGTAAACGCGCCCCTACGGCGAGTTTCAAGTCAATAACATGACATCACCGAACTTGGGGTTGGGGAGGGTGCACACAGTCGCCTCCCAGAGCCAGTCCTCACCGGCGCCGGCCTGGACCCTTTGCACCTGCTGAGGCCTCTGCTAGGGGACTGCCCCTCACCTCCCTGATCTTTGCTTCGACCATCACTTGGGTCTCAGAGGCCTCTTCTGACACATGAGTGCCACAGTCTCTTCAATTCTCATCACCGAGAGATTCCTCGTCTGTGGCCACGCTTCATGTCCCCTCCCCGACCAGAAGGTGCTCCCCAGGCAGAGGCCTGACTCAACTCGTACACTGCTATGTTCTCTGCTAGGGGACCCAGTACACAGTAAGGATGTGCTGATGGACCCGATGACCCCAGGCCCGGGTCCCCTGCCCTCAGCGGTCCCCGGCACTCGAGGCTCACGCCCAGGGGCCTCAGGAAGCCTGTGGGTCTTGCTCCACTCTGTCCACCCACCTGTCCAGACTCCCCTCCGCCCACCCCCAACGCCTGCAGGCTACGGGCCCAGCCTAGGAGCTGCCCTTGCAGCTGGCTGGCCCCCAGCACCTCTGCTCCTCGGGCCCCAGCCCTCCCAGCTCCCCACCTGCTGCCATAAGCACAATCAGCCCCTCCTGAGTTGTGTGTGTTTACGTTCGTCTCTCTGGGAGAAGGGAACCCCACATGAGGCTTTCCGGAAGAACTTCCACATTCGCCGTGGCCGCACGCTGGCCACCACTTGCAACGTCTCCTTCGGGGCTTCACACGCTACCGTGATTCTACTTCAGCTCCGAAACACACAGCACTCTGGAACCAGGACATGGACCAAACACACACCAGAGTGGCCAGGAGGCCGTGAACAGAGAGCAAACTCCGAAACCAGGGCAACGTGGTTTGACTCCAAGCATCAGTGTGTGGGACCCAGCAAGGCAGCCGGTCACACCCAGCCAGACTCACAGGACAGCGGAACCGGGAACCAGTGACGGAGATCATCCAGACAGACTGGCCCGAAGCTGATCGCTTTCGTGCCACACCTGGGGACACGAGGCGGACAAACAGCACAGTCCCTGTCCTCACACAGCTGACAGTCTGGCGGGAAAGACAGACACCAAGCAGAGAACACGCGTGGAAGTGTGCTTTGAGAGTGCCGTGAACACAGAGGGGCCCACAGGCACCTTGTCTGGACTGGAGGGGTGGCTGGGGAGGTCCTCTCGGCATGTGTGAGCCAGGAAGGCTGAGAAGGACACAGGCTTGGGGGTCGGGAAGAGCTGTCCGGCACAGGGTCCTGCATGGGCCAACACAGGTGTGCCTACCCCAGCCCAGAAAGGAGGCCTCCGATCTGGACCCTGCTCGGAGGAGGAGGAAGGGCCCGAGACAAGCTTTGAGAGGTGGTGGGGGCCCTCCACGCACAGGATGGTGCCGAGCAGGGCAGCGACCTGATCTGACTTTCTGAAGCCCCAGGGGCTGCTGTGAACAACAGGGCAGGGAGACAGGGGACAATGTTTGTCAAGGAATGTGCAGGGCCAGGCCCTCAGCAGATGCGGAGGAAAGTGATTCCCTCCCTCTTCTGATACTTGCAAGCTTGACAAAGAACAGCGTCAGAAAATCAGCAGGGCCATTTATGCAGATGAGGCAATACCACAGCGGCAGAAATGAGGCTGCATCAGACGCTGGTGAAGATCTTTCTGCTGGAACTTCTTTACCGGCCACAGCCAGTTGGGAGCTGGCCGTTCCGGGAGAAGGCAACTGTCAGGGGGAGGCCCAGCCCCGGGAGCAGATGGCTGGCCTGGCGCCCAGCCCTGGGAGGTGGGGCAGCTCCTGATAAAGCACACGCAGCCCGTGAAACAAACACGCTGCAGAGCTTCAGAATTTATGAGCCGGAGCCTGCTCATCTGTGCCCAGGTTTGACGAAGCAGAATTTCCCCTCCATCAAACAATTAATTCTCCTTGTTTTCTTTTGCTTACTCACTGTTTAAGTGACTAACCTCTCTGGGCCTCAGTTTTCTCACCTGCAAAATGGGAATAATCCTAAAACCACTGAGCACAGAGGCACTGTGAGGTACACAAGACGACAAGGATGGCATGCTCCTGGTCTTGCCTGGTACAGATGAGGCACCATCTCTGTCCTCGGGGAAGGGGACTTGCAGCCTGGAGGCCTAGGTTCACACTGCAGCCCCCAGGAGCTGGCTCTGGGCCCTCCACAGGCCTCAGTTTCTCCACCTGGGAAACGGGGACACTGACACCTCCTTGCTGGGGTTCTGAGGTGAAATGTGGAAATACAGTAATGGGTGCCACGGCTCAAGGTCGGGGCCTCTGCCTTGCCAATCTTCTGCTCCACCTCACTCCCCACCGGACGCTAGATGGTGAGCCCATCCGTGGACCCACACTGGGCAGAGACCCCTGGAAGGGCGGGTGGGAAGCAAGCCAGAAGCCGCACCAACACAGAGACCAGTGTTGGGGTGAAAACAGTTCAGCTCCACCAGAGACGCCTGCCTGTTTCCTACAGGACTGTGGGCTCGGCGGGGACCTGCCGCACGCCCGTCTGCGTGGCTGCACAGTGGGGCTCACCACACCGCCTGCACACAACTGATGGGGGAACCACGAGGGCCAGCGTGGAACACCTGGCATGGCCTGGCCAGAGCTGGAAACGTCAGCCTCCCTCCTGCCCGCCCTCTTCCCAGCCATGCCAGATCCATCAAAGGGAGAACCGAGTGCCCATCCGAAGAGATGTTCTGCTCATTCTAGTAGGAAAACAAAAAAAGAAAACCAAGGATTTCTTTGAGGAGGTGAGTGGTCGGAGGGTCCCCCCCAACTAGGCGGCAACTTGGGGGGCGAGGTGGGGTCATCTGACTGTGGACAGTAGCCCCACTGACCGCTATTGTGTCCCCAGTGCAGGGGCGGGAGGGCGTCTGCCGGCCTCCTGAGGACTAGACAGGCTCTCAGCTCTCGCTGACTCCCAAGGCATCCCACTCAGAGAGCTGGATGGCTCACTGCACTGCACACTCCTTACTGCCAAATTTTATGACTTCAAAAAATTCCCCCAGCGCATCTGTCATCAGGCCTGCGAGTGGGATCGTGAGGCAGGGCTGAACCCCTCTCCCAAACTGGAGCAGCGCACGTCAGGCTCTGCTGGAGCCCAAACTCACTGCCCGCCTCCTCTCCCAGGGCCCCTCTCGCCCTGGCACGGCTCCCGCAGCTCGAAAGTGTGCGGCAGGGATGGAAATAGAACGAAGCCGGTGAAGGGGTCTAAAATCTCACAGAGGGAACTAGAAATAGCGCTCTCGTTTGTAGAGCAGATCAATAATGCCCCTCTCCCAGGCCTCGTGAGGACTGACTGAGAGAGTTTATGGAAAACAACCCAGCAGGACGCTGGTGCAGGCAGGCGTCACGTAGCAGCCAGTGCTGACAGCCGGTATTTACTTCGGCCAGACGCCGGTGTAAGTGTGC